TCTGCTTTAGGAAAGGCTTAGAGTTTGCTGTTCTTCTGGAACTGAGCCACCAGGCTGAGGACTTGCTCAGAAGCTTTGATGTTCTTTGAGCCGAGGTAGGCGATGCTGTTGGTGGCCGTGTCCTCCAGGTAGTACCGGTAATTGACCATCAGGCCGCACGAGCTGGTGACGCCCTTGAGGCTGACGTCGGCCATCCAGTTGATACGCCACAGCACCGCCCCGTTCTGCAGGTGGAAGTTGGCCACGGGGTTCAGGGCGTAGCCCCGGTGCTTCTCTCCGTACAGGTACCAGGCACAGAGCCGCATCAGGGGGGCCTGGAGTGCCCTGACCAGCCTTTCAGACTTGATCCATTCGTTGCTGCTGAGAAAGACCTTGAGGGTCTCACTGATGGGACCGCCTGTGATCTCTGAGATTTCCTTACATTCAGAATCTGTAAATAGTTCATTCCTCCCGTGATCCTTTGCTTGCGAGTTCAGGAGCCCTAGAAGCCATTTGGTGAATCCAGGTATAGGAGACAGACTTGAAAATGTCCCAAGGTGAGGAAACTCTTTCTGTAAGGCAGGGTTGGGGCGGGGAAAGGAAGGTGGAGAAAACACATGCAAAGAAAGTTCAGCAGGGGTGTCACCATATAGAAAGACCTCTCCAGTTATCATTTATGTATCATTAACCTCTGTATGCTGCTGTATGGGTTACAAAGTGATATCTGACGTGCTTTAATTTTCTGTTTTCAAGGAATGTTTATTAAGAATCTAATGTGTGCAGGCCCGGGAGGCATCCGGAGTCCTCAGGCATTTATGGTGGTCTCCATCTGTCTGCACCACTGATCGTGGTGGCAAGTTGGGGGGACTCGCCTGAAATCAGAGCTGGGCTGCTGCCTGGAAGTGGGACTTGGTGTTGTGGCCTCCTAAGGAGGAGACAGGTCTTGTCTTTCTAGCACACCACGCCCCTCCCATGGAGTGCTTTGCAGCCACAGAATCTGGTTTGGTGCTTGGCACATAAGTACCCATAAGTACAATGCTGCTGAATGAATATGATCGCCCCAGTGTACCCCAGTGGATGCAGGGGATGGGGTCGAAGGGGAGGCAGTGGGTATTTCTCCACATCAGACAGTGTGGGTCAGTCATTACTGTTCAAATTACACAAAGATCTCAATGATCATTTTTAAAAATCCCGTATCTTCTGACTAGAAATGTAATATATGCTCACTATAGAAATTAAAAAAAGAATTTATGACAGAGACAAAGAAAACCACAATACTCCTTTACTACTCTGAGCTACTCTCAATAGTTGGTCAAGTCCAACTCCTGGTCTTTCTCTAGACAGTTTTTATGTGGGTGAGACATTTATCTTATATCCGACTTTATGAACTTATGAGCATTTTCTCACTATCATTAAAATTCAAAAACATAATTTTTATGACAGAATAATACCAAAAGATGACTGCACCACGATTTTTCTAACCACATTCTCTTATTGGGCATTTACAGTGGCTCTTTGCTCTGACAACCCCCCGTGAACACTTTTGTGCAGGAGACGACTATGCTTCCTTTGGGATTCTCTCTGATGACTTTCTGGCTCACAGCTGAGTGCTGGACGAGCAGCCAGCTGTCGGGAT